CTTTTCTTTATAAACTTGATCTTTTCAGAGCAAATAAAGCTCTTCAGCGTATGATCTTAAAAGGAACAGTATTTCATTACTTCTCATTTACATACCAAAAGTTTAGTTTACTATTGGCCAAATGAAGAGTATGTTTAGTTTTTTTATGTTGTTTTTTAGTGTAACTCACTATTTTTCTTAGAAAATAAGATATGTGGTAGTATTAACACTGAAATGACTTACTATATATGAAAATAAGTATGTATATTCAAACTTATCTGAAACTTTAAGGCTAACAGAATGGTGCTTTTTCTTTGTATTTTTGCTTTTAGTTGGTAGATAAACTTAATACCAATACTGAGATGGAAGAAGTAATGAATGATTACAACATGGTAAGAAAATATATAAATATAAGCAATAGCTATACATATAAATCATATCCTCTAAAATAAAGCATTATCTAGAAATATTTTGATAAAACTTTATGGACGTTAGGGTGGTTATGACTCTGATAATTACTGTCACAATTCTCATTAAGCACCCTTCATTGTTCTTTTAAATCTCTATTGGTGTTGAAGTAAATGTTTTAATTTCTGTCAATAAAGCTCTGTTTCAACTGATCTTGTGTTAGGGAATCACCATCTATATTGCTTAGATATATATTAACAATATTTTGGTTTTAACCTTTTAAAAATGTTTCTTTTAGGTTTAAATTTTCTTTTTTACAAATGGAACTAAAACTCAATGGAGATATCATCTTTAAAAACTTCTTATAGTTTTTTAATTATTTAATGCTATCTCCATATATGTTCTTGCCCTGTGCCCTCAGAGGCCAGAAGAAGGCATTGAGTTGCCTGAGGCTAGAGTAACAGGTAGTTGTGAGCCTCCATGTAAGCGCTGGAAAATGAGTACAAGTCTTCTGGAGGGGTAGCCAGTGTTTGTAACCGCAGAGCTATTGCTCTAGTCCGTCCGCACAGGAATGGCTATAATACCAGACACAGCTAATATTGATTTGGGGAAATGAGGATTTGTGTTCAGTGTTCATATAAGTATCTGACCTATTTTCATTTTAAATGATAAAATACAACAAAATTCTATAGCTTATAATTTATTTACATGATGAAATATTTCTGTGAGAACAGCGTTGTTTTATTGATTTATTTTTTTTTGAGACAAGGTTTCATTATGTTGCCCTGGCTATCCTGGAACTCACTTAGTAGACCAGGCTAGCCTCAGACTCAAAGATCGGCCTGCCTCTGCCTCTCAAGTTCTGGGAATAAAGACATGCCCCACAACAGCCTGACTAAACAAACAAACAAATAAAAAACTAAACAGAATTTTTAAAATTACTTCTACATTTGGGGTTCTAAAATAATTTAGCAAATTATTTTTAGTTTCATAAACTTAGAAATGAGTTTTATTCCTAGAAATAAATAACAAAAACTTTGAAAAGTATTTGGTTAGTGTTTGGGGTCGGTCCTGATTCAGGTCTTTGTGTATAAGGTCAGCTGGGAGTACTTGGGAAATCATAAAGGATTTAAAAACAAAATGGTGTTGATTCTAGATTGAGCATATGGCTAATCAAGTTTTTATTGTACATGTAGTATGTTACTGAAATGCTGTTTATGTAAATTAACTTTACATTATTGGACAGATCATTAAAGAAAAATGAATTATTTTGTGTGAGCTTATAATGTCAATCTAAAGAACTAATATTTTTTCTGGTAATACTGACTTATTTATCTAGTAGTGTTCTTTTTTTAAATGAATGATATAAAATTTTTCTAAATTTGCATGTGGCCATTATTACAAGAATCTCATTTAGTACCAGAGTAACCTTTACAGAGAGTTTGGTGGTTCCCTTTTTTTAAAATGACTAACATCTGTGTTAACTGTTTACACAGCTTAAAGCTCAAAATGATCGAGAAACACAAAGTATGGATGTCATATTTACTGAAAGACAAGCGTAAGTTTACATTAATAAATGAGTTTTGGTAACTCATTTAACTTTAACTTTTTCTCTTATTTTACTTTTTTTTATTAATTAACTGTTGGTTCCTTATGAGGCAGTATCTTACTTTGTAGAGTAGGCTGCCTCAGATTCACAAGGATCTTTCTGCCTCAGCCTCCTGTGTGCTGGGACTTCAGACAAGAACCACAACTGGCATCTTACTGACCTCTTAAAGTCAGTAAGTATATATTTGTGATAGAAAATGTATTTTTTTCTTAATTTACCATAATGTCTTAATATAAAAATTATCTTATTGTCAAATCTTAATTTACTTCCAAGTAGCTAATTTTTAAATTATTATTTATTATTATTTTTTATTACAATTTATTCAGTTTGCATCCCGACTGTAGCCCTCTTCCTCAGCTCCTCCCGGTCCTACCCCCCATGTCCCTCCCCTAGTCCACTGATAGTGAGGTCCTCCTCCCCTACTGTCTGACCTATCCCATCAGGTCTCATCATAACTGTCTGGATCCTCCTTCTCCTTGGCATAGGAAGGCCACCTGCCAGGGGTAGGTGATCAAAGACCAGGTAACCGAGTTCATGCCAGAGACTGCCTCTGATCTCCTCACGAGGGAACCCCCATGGAGACAGAGATGCCCATGAGCTACATCTGAGCAGGGGGTCTAGGTCTTCTCCATGCATGGCTGATTCAGCAGTCTCAGCAGGCCCCTGGGCCCAGATTTTTTGGCTCTGTTACTCTCCTTGTAGAGCTCAAGGAGCTAAATTTTATTCAAAGGAAAAGACTACCAAGTTTTATAAATATGATTTCTGCTTCTAAAAACTTAAACTTTAAAATGAATTATGTCTTTATATCTACAACTTAGAATTTTAACTTAAGCTTTTAACTAGATTGGATCATGGTATTTTAGTTCCATTTTAATGAAAGAAGTTATTGATCAGTAGGTTTTATGCATTAATTAACAGTGATGATAATTATATTAGTATTTTCTGTTGTCTATAGATTATATGTATGCTCATACATAACTTATGTATGAACTGAAATGACTAAATATGAACTAGCTTTGATTTCAATAAAATGTAACAGTAATCTTTACAAAAATAATAAATGTGAAATAAAATAATTTAAAAAATTAGTTTTGACTCATTAAATACAGAATATGGGAAGATAAATGTAAAAGTTGAGCTATGGAGTATAAACATATATACAGCATCAGTTCTAGAAGCTTATTACTGTTAATCTGTTTGAAAGCGAGGATAATTACTAACCAAAATTCCTGAAATTGAGTAACCGTAAATACACTCCCATGTTACTTTTATATTAAACAACCTGATGAAGAGTAAGATGTTGAATATAGTGATGAAATTTTTGGAAGAGGAATGATGTTCCTCTGTGGATTATAGACAAAGAAGTATCTGTCTCCACACATTATTAAGACTGCCATTCAGAGCCTTCTTGAAGACAGAAGATCTAGCTGTCTAAGACCAGCTTCATCAGCTCAGGGCAGACAGAGGAAGTGTGTGTAGAGCTGGTGGGGTCCAGAGCTGATGGCTTCTGTCAGCTGGGGGCTAGTACTACTTGAAACTGGTGAGACACGCTGAACTCTTTGAACTCTAACTCTGTGGGCTGGCTGGTGATAAGGAAAAAAGAAAAGACAAGACAGGCTCCAGCAAGCAAGTTCCCTTCACACATATAGACAGCCATTGGATGAATGGAGCAAAGCTCCAACCATTTTATGTAATACATATTGGGTAGATGGAACAAATTAGAGCAATTCAAGCTCCAACAATTTTATTTTTTCTCCCACAGCTTATGTATGGCAGCAAAATCTTTATTTCCTTTCCTCTTTTCCTTTCCTTCCTTCCTTCCTTCCTTCCTTCCTTCCTTCCTTCCTTCCTTCTTTCCTTCTTTCCTTCTTTCCTTTTCTTTTAGAGACAGGGTTGTTTTGTGTAACCTTGGCTGTCCTGGACTTATGTTGTAGACCAGGCTGGCCTCAAACTCACAGAGATCCACCAGTCTCTGCCTCCCTGAGTGCTAGAATTACAGACGTGTGTTGCTACGCCTGTCCCTAGCAAAATCTTTCAAGCAGTATAAAAATCACAATGTGGGAACATTTTCTTTTTCTTTTTTTTTTTAATTTAAATTTTTTTTAAAATTCACATTACATCCTTGTTGCAGCCCCATCCCTCCTCCCTTCCCAGTTCCACTCTCCCTCCTTCCCCCTCCCCTTTTCCTCAGCAAAGGAGAGCTCCTTTCCCAGCTCATGAAGTTGCATCAGGACTGAATGTGTCCTCTTCCATTGTGACCTAGCAAGGCAGTCCCGCCAGGGGAAAGTGATCAATAGGATGGCAAGTGAGTCCATGTCCAATGCAGTTCCCACTTCCCTTACTAGAGGACGCAAATGAGGCCTAAGCTGCCCATCTGTTACATCTTTATAGGGGGCATAGGTCCAGTTCATGCATGGTCCTTGGTTGATGCTTCAGTCTTAGCAAGCCCCTCTGGGCCCTGGTTAGTTGGCTTTGTTGGTCTGGTAGAGCTCCTGCCACCTCCAGGTTCTTTTCTCTTTCCTTCCACTTTTCTACAAGATGCCCTAAGCATAGCCTAATGTTTGGCTCTTAGTCCCATCATCTCTTTTGAGGTGCTGCTAGGTAGCACCTTTCAGAGGATGACTCTGTCAGGCTCCTGTCTGCAAGTTTAGCTTTAAGTGAACAATTACAATGAGTATATGTAGAAAAAAAACATGTTCCTCAATACCCTCAGGTGATCAGATGTTTTATGTATTATGGGTGAAAAACAAATGTGAGATACAAATTATTCCCAACAACTCACATACATTTGTAACTAAGTAGTTTGTTATATATTAACGAAGTGTAAGCAAGCAAGGAAATTTTTTTCAGCCAGTCTTTCTTTACTGGCAGGCTGCAATTTGCAGATAATTGAAAGAATCAATTATTGTAAAAGTAATCTTAGAAAACCTTAAAAGAATTGAAGATCTAAACTTTTATATAAAAAACAGCCATTCCTACTTTAAAATCCCTCAAGAGGCATATCTACTCATTAACAATTTTTATTAAATTATATCAGGAAACTAAGGGCAAAGTGGGTACAAGAAATTAATCTCCTTGAAGTCCAGCTTCAATGAGAAAGTCACGTCAGCCAGTACTAATTGGAGCTATTGTTCTTGCTCATTAACCTCAGAAAGTCCCTAATTCAACTATGAAGAGTGCTTTTTTGAACTTCAGATTGGTCCTCAAGATTTTTTTTTACATCAGAGCTACTGACAAAAACACCTTAACCTAACTTTTAAAAAATATTTAAATCAAATCAGAAATTCTGTAAAATCATTAATTTATCTAAACTATTATTTTATGAAAATGCATTTTCATATGATCTGCACAAAAGTTGTCCAAATGAATTTCCTGTCACCCAGGAAACAAGCACATACAGGCAGTGAGGGTCTCCCCACACACAGTCATACCATGTCAGATATATGGGGAATACAACAATGACAAACATGAGAAGGCCCATCAGCAGTACAAAGAAATGTGGAGATGGTGCCCGTTGGGACCATGCCTCTCCTAGGAGAGGAGCAGCCATATGAAATGGTGGGCCGTCTCCAGGAAGCTCACCTGCCCACTGCTGCTCCTCCTGCATGGCATCCGCCATGGCAGCCTCTTTCTTATGTAAAGAATGCCAAGCTCTTAGTTTTTCCTCCCTTTTTCTTCCTGCTTTAAAACCACTGAGCAAATATTTACCATTTACTTATTATACACAAGATACTCAGGTACATATGCAAGCATAGAAGCTGTAGCTCTGAATGCTTCAAAGAATTTAAAACATGTTCCCATTTCATTATTTCATTATCTATGCTAATACCCAAATTGCGTGTATAAATTTTACAGTTACATTTTTTTAAAAGTATATATGCTAGAAACAAAAAGTAAAAACTTTGAAAAACTATTTTAGTCACTATGCTTTCTCTTGAGTCTGTATTTAGAGGAACTAAGAAAGATTGTTGCTGTTAATTTAATGGTATGGTATATTTAACCCGCTGTCACAATCAATAAAAGGCACAGACACCTGATAGATTTTATGATAACCTTATATCACCTGGGACAGGGCAGGTATTAGCCCTCTAATCTACCTTTACCTCCCAGCCTACCTCCCATCCATAGTTCCATAAATACTTGCTTATTCTTCATCTAGGCTGCTTCCTCTATCTATGCCCACCATGTGTTTCTTTGCACATTTGCCCATGGCTGCTCTCTGCTTCCTTCCTCTTCCTCTTCCTGTTTCTTTTCTCCTTCCCATGCAGATCTTTTCAAAAACTCAGTACTTTACTCTTGAGTTATCAGAGAACATTTGAAATTAATAAAATCTGTGTAAGTACTAAAGTAAAAAGTCTTGGTTCCTTTCCTTTGGTTCAGATTCCTTTCCTAATTTGATTAGGTACCTTTTTTCTTTTTTTAAAGGATTTATTTATTTACTATGTATACAGTGTTGTTTGCGTGTACACCTGCACACCAGAAAAGGTCACTAGATTTCATTATAGGTGGTGTGAGCCACGATGTGGTTGCTGGGAATTGAACTCAGGACCTCTGGAGGAGCAGACAGTGCTATTAACCTCTGAGCCATCTCTCCAGCCTCCATTTTTTTCTTTTTCTATAAATACTTGTTAGTGTCATTGTGGAAGAAAATTCAGGAAACATTGCTCTGTTTGTTGAAACACAGACAGATGTGTGTGGATTACCTAAATATTCTTCAGCTCTAGCTCAGAATGAGTTGAAAGATAATCTCCCAGAAGAGATACAGAAATGTGTATTTTAAAAGAAAATTCTTATGATGCCCAGTTTAGAAGCCACTGTAATATTAAATATGGCAATTGTAGGTAGAACCCTTCCTAACAATCACTGTCAAGTCAGTAGTGGTTAATAGGCATTATTCCTAGTCATTGTATCTGGGCTTCAGATTGCTACTAATTTTGAGGAAATTTTGTTTTTTTGAGTTCAGGAAGCATTAGAAAATATGCTCCAATTCTGTGAATTTATTTGTGAACATCAGACAGATTTATATAGCCAAAACTCACTGTTCTTTACTTGGACAATATAAATCTAAAATTTATGTTTCTTTATTGATTCAATTTTTTAGTATAATTTAAGACATTGCAGCACATGTATTTGTTAATACCAGAATATGTTCATTTTAGTTGGTAAGTAATCATTCCTTTGACCTTGATTTTTTGTTTTGTTTTGTTTTGTTTTGTTTTTACCAGTCTGTGGTTTCCTAAACACTTTCTGACATACAAATGCTGGTTGTGTAGATAAATTATTCAGCTTTTAGCTGACCAGAGTACGAGTTAGTGCATTTGGACTTGCTTGTACAATACAGTAGAAAATTATGTGATATTTATGTAAGGTACTGATTAATACAAAGGATTGCTGCTTATAGTTTTGTTTGTCAAATAAAAATCTTTTTGTCTAAGCTGTAAATAGACATAATATTTTTTCAAAATTTCAACACAATAAAATTACTTTTCCTCATGTACCTCATTGATATCTATGTATCTATCTTCAATAAACCCATCATCATCTACCACAAATGAATGCAACTGTTCAAAGATTACTGTGGTGTCTTCAGAGTTTGTATCTGTTATCTGTGAAAGAGAACTTGGGTTTCTTGTAAGACCATCGTCATAGGTTTCTGCTTCATGCTCTTCCAGGCGATGGTGATTGTAACTAAGCAGAATATTGTACCAAATTGGGCACTTGATAGCAATAAAGATGAGTAGTGAAGTTACCATTGCAGTGACGACAACACCAACAAGTAAAGCCCAGCTTTTTCCAACAGTCTTATGTTCTTAAATAGAAAAGAGAGATTTTGTTAAGTTGACAAGTCAAGCAGTATTAGAAAGGTATATACTTTACTGTTTTCTGTGAATAAAAATTACTACTACAGGAAAGAAAAATGTGGTCAAGGAACATCATTTTCCAAAATGACTAAAGGCTGATTAATTCTTAATTAAACAACCCAAAGTGCTCCAAAGTCTGTAACTGAGTGCTAATCTGATTTCACAAGTGGAAAATTCATAGAAAGCCTCAATGGACAGGTCACAGTAAAAACAAAACAAAAAACAGATGCCCCAAAAGTACTGTATAAAATTATCTTCAGACTATATGCATGTGCTTTTTTTTTTTTTTTGACACATAAATGAATTTTGTGCTTAGACCTGGATCTCCTCTCATGTAAATGCAGCAGTCCACATTAAAACAAAACCAGGTATTGTTACCAGCTCACATAAAACCATTAGCTTATACTTGGGAAGTGTGGTGTTTTGTCTCATAAAATAGTTAATTAATATCCAGTATTGTGTGCATGACATATGATAGAGCCTGGGTTGGAATCCCAATATTTTGTAAATCTTTGTTGAGGTGAAGAATTGTTCTTTTACATTGTTCATAGAAGTTCAACATAGTGAAAGACAAAAAGAACAGTGGGATTAGTACTGATACCTTTAGCAATAGTAATCCTCAAAAGCGGTACATTACCTGAGTTCTCTGTTAAGTTGCTTAAAGAGCTACTAAAAGGTGAATTCATATTGGGCTGGAAATCAATATAAAGGTCTTCAGCTATAGTGGAAATAAATTTAGAGTGGCATTCAGTTGTAAAGGGCGCTGACTTGATACTGTAATGCTTTAGGTCATCTGGATAGCTACACATGGTGATGCTCTCGTTTTCTGGTAAAGAAATAAATTAGGATGTATTATAGATAAATAGAAGTAGTTCATAACACAGTATTGATTTAGAATTTTGATAAGTTTTCTCATTAGGAAAATAATAAGGGCTGGAAAGATGGTTCAGTGGTAAAAAACACTTGCTACTCTTGCATAGAATCTATTTGCGTTTCCAGTTTCCACATGGTGCCTTATGACCATCCTGAACTATAGTTCTGGGGAATCCAGTGCCCTCTTCTGAACTTTGCAGGCATCAGGTACACACAGGGTGCCCATACATACACGCAGGCAAAACACTTACCCACATAATTATTAAATCAATGAACCAAAAATATTTATTTTAAGAAAGGCACTCTTGATGTGTTTGCATGTCAACATGAGTGCTGATGCACATTCCTGTTAGGTTAAATGCAGTATGTGTTTATCATTTAGCTTTTATCTTGGGAAGTCTTATGATTAATATTATTGTTACACTCTGGTTCCCAAGCAGAACTTGATGTGCAGTTAACAAAATAAGGCAACACCTTGAGTTCAGTCCCCAGTGCTGGAAAGCAAAAAAACAACCAAACGAAACTAGGCACCTCTTCTTGTGTATTTTGTGAGACAATACTCTAGAGAATATATAGGAAGTCCTTGAACATCTTATTGAGCTAGGATCTCACTGTAATCCTGGCTGGTTTGGAACTCAACAGAGATCTGTTTGCCTCTGCCTCCCAAGTTCTGGAATCAAAGGTATCCAATATAATATCTGACATGTAAAAGTACTATCATATATTGACTCTACGTGTTTAATACTATCTTCTTGCATATAGCAATCTTTAAATTACCACACCCCTCTCAGGTGGGGTAAGATAATGTATATTCTGAAGTTTCTTTCTGGTGGTTTTTCTGGGAGGTGTTACTAGTTTTGGTTTGATTTTGGTTTATTTTTAACTGTTGTAGAGATGAAGTTCAAAGCCTGTGTCTACCATTGAGTAATACTTCCAGCCCTGCTGTTTCCTTTCATCTGTTCTAATTCTGACATAAGCTAATGAAGGTCAGACACATTCTCTTCTTGTTTGACTTGGAGTAGGATAGCTTACCTAATGTCACGTTAGATGTGTTCAGCCAGTTCTGCAATTCAAGTAGACTACAGGTGCAGTTCCATGGATTTCCATCCAGAGTTAGTAATTCCAGATGAAATAACTGTGGTGCATCAAAGTGACTTATCAAATTGCCTTGCAGATTCAAAACTTTCAAATTGTTTAGAGGCACAAATATATCAGGATTCAGTTGCAATATTTTGTTTTGGCAAAGATATAACTGTTTTAGTTCATTTAAGCCAGCAAATGAGCTCTGTTGAATTGCACTGATGGAATTTCCACAGATATTTAAAATTTCTAGTTTGAAGAGATTGCTGAAGCTACTATTATATAAGACAGTGATGTTATTCTCCATCAAGTAGAGCTCAGTGAGCAAGGAATACATCTGTAGCACCCTGATGTCTGAAGCATTTAGAGTGATCTGGTTATAACTGAGATCAAGGATGGTAACATTGTTACTGATAACCTCTGGAATCAAAGCATAATTCCTTCTGGTGAAATTACATTTGACTTCCTGGAAAAGAAAAAAAAATAGTAATGCTTTAATAAGAAAAAAAATTTAACGGAATTGATCAAAATTACATATCCGAGAGATACTAGATAAAAATTATTCTGGAAAAACATTATCCCTTAATGTGAAAAAGGAAGAGCAAACATGTTTCTTTATGGAGATGAAATACTAAAGATTAATGAAATGCTGATCCAACCACTCAAGGAGAGTACTTTATTCCACAGGTATCTTCCTGTTACTATACAAGCATTACAAATATTGCTATATATCTCTTTTAGAAATACAAGATAATTAAAAATTGTGTTGACTTACTTATCAGGAATGATGGCACATGCCTTGTGATTCCAGCACTTGGGGAAGCTGGGCAGGAGGCTAACAAGTTCAAGGACAACCTTGGCTATACAATGAGATGCTTTCTCAAAAAAAAAAAAAAAAACAAACAAAAATACCAACAAAACCTATCTTGCTGGTTTAGCATGCAAGATAGATAGATATGGGAGAGTTGTTTAAAAATAAGTATTTTGAAGTTTGTGGAGATACCATCACATACCTAGGAATATTAAATAATTCAAATTAATGCCCAGCAATCTCTGTTAGTTTAACAGCTCAAAGTATGTGTATGTGTGATGCATGTAAGTATTTTTAAAAGTAAATCATTAGCTCTGTAATCCCAGCAGGAATGGGGAGGCAGAGGCAGACAGATCTCTGTGAGTTCGAGGCCAGCCTGGTCTATAAAGTGAGTCCAGGACAGCCAAGGCTAAACAGAGAAACACTATTTTGAAAAACTAAAATCTAAGAGATTTACTAATCTAAGAGATTACTGAAGCTACTATTATGTAAGACAGTGATGTTATTCTCCATCAGGTAGAGCTTAGTGAGCAAGGAATACATCTGTAGCACCCTGATGTCTGAAGCATTCAGAGTGATCTAGTTATAATTGAGATCAAGGATGGTAACATTGGGCTGTTTTTGTTTTGTTTCATTGTGGCTTTTCAAGACCGGGTATCTCTGCACAGCCCTGGTTGTCCTGAAGCTCACTCTGTAGACCAAGCTGGTTTCAAACTCAGAGATGCACCTGTCTCTGCCTTCTGAAAGCTGGAATTAAAGGTGTATGCCAGCATCACCCAGCTGCTTTCTTTCAAATATTGAACGATGCTGGCTGTGGTTTTAATCCTAGGATGAGGCAGATGAATTTCTAAAAGTTCAAGGACATCCTGGTTAATATAGTTGTCGCAAAACAACATCAAATTAAATCATGATTGTTAATGAGCTATAATACAAGAAATGATTCACATATGTATATGCATTTGAAGAAATAGTTTTTGACTGGCTCTGCAGTTGAAATAATCATGCAACTACATGGTGGTAAATTATGTCAGTGTATTTTTAAAAGTTTATTGATTGACATGATGATGGATTTTTGCTTGTATTGATGTTTTTTTTTTGTTTTTTGTTTTTGTTTTTTGCAGTAGGGTCTCGATTTGAACCCTCATGAACTGCATATTGCATTAGCTGGCCAACTCTTGATCATCCTGCCTCTATCAACTACATGATAGATTACAGGAGTATGTTAACACAACTGGCTTAGTTGGCTTAGTTGCTTAATTTTTTTTTTATTTTTTTTTATTTTTTAGTAGAGCTAGGGATGGAACTCATGGCATTAGACAAAAGCTCTCTCACTGAACTCTATCTCCAACCTATATTCTATTTACTTATATTATTATTATTGTATATATATATATATATATATATATATATATATATATATATATATATAGTATGTGCTTACCTCTTCATGGAGAAAGGGAAGGAGAGGTCAGTGTTGTATGTGATTCAGATCTTCTTGCTTGAACTAAACCATTTTTCAGCTTTCTTGCCCCCATCCTATGTTTTGAACTGTTTTTTTTTGGGGGGGTCTTGAAACTAATCTCTTATTTTATAGTGAAAAATTTCAGAGTTTTACTTTATTTGGCTTTTAATTTTTTTTTTAAAAAAGAATTTATGTGTATGTGTGATACATGTAAGTGTTTGTATCATATAGCTGCTTAGTATCTATGGATACCAGAAAAGGGCTTCAGATCTCTGGATCTGGGGTTTTAGGTATTTAAGAACCAATATGTGAATTCTGGGAACTGAGCCTGGCTCCTCTGCAGGAGCAGAGAATGCTCTTAATTGCTGAACTATCTTTTTAGTCTCATTTGGTCAGCTTTTAAAAAGAATCCACTTCATAAAACAAAGAATGCTTTTGCCAAATTAGGCTTTTGGTCAGAGATTACAGAATTTTAGTATCATAGATAAGTAAATAAATTTTTCTTTTAAATTTTATCTATCTATTTATTTATTTATTTATTTATTTATTTATTTATTTATTTATTTATGGGACTGTGTGTATGGTGTGTGTGTATGTTTATGCACATGCATGTCATGGCATAGGTGGAGGCAGAGCCAGTTCTCACTTTCCATAGTGGATTTTGGAAATGGGACTCAGGTTGCTAGGCTTGGTAGCAAGCACCTTAAGCTGCAAAGACATCTTACTGGCACACAAGAATTACATTTTTAATAGTTTGTCAATTGTGTATATTTTCCTTTTGTTGGACTTTTGCTTTTCTGTATTTGCCAGATTTGTATGCAGTATATGTTTGAGAACTTCTTTACTATTAGTAAAAACTTACTGGTTGAGAAGCCTGGCTTTTGTCAGATAGTAGTAGCATGAAGAAGAGCCAGAAGAAGGTTGTGAAGTGTGTGGCTTTCATATCGGAGGCCTAAGAGAAAAGAGAATAATTTCATCTCTAGAGGTACTAGAACTTTAGAGGTTGAGGACAAATTGATTTCCTTTTTTTTTTAACATATATTTTTCTTTTAAAATACATAAATAGCCGGGCAAACAAACAAATAAATAAATAACATATATATTATATATCTTATTCCTTAAACTAAACAGCCTCTGTGGAGAGTGAAACTCAGTATTTTTCTAGGGTGTCTTATTAGCTTCAGCTAATGGGGGAAAAAGAACTAAACAATTTAAATAGTTGTTAAAATTTCTCAGCATATATGTACATAAAAATCCCAGAGGAATGTATGCTTATGATTATGTTCATATTTAGTATATACTTAAGTTGATGCTTCTTGATTTTTCAAATTGGGGTGTCATATTGATACTATTGATTGGTTTGTTATGGTGGAAGATGAAAATCAGTTTTCTTTCAAGTATTCTTTGCTATAATCTCCAGTACATTGACCATTCAATTTCTAACATATACGTAATGGATTTTGCCAGATGAATATTGAGGGTTAATAATGCCTTGATCACATGAAAATTATTGTTTACTGAACCATGTAACACAATCACTTTTTCTATTTTGCACTTTTTTTCTGATAAACTGAGCTTTTTTTTTTTCGTGTGTTTAGTTTTCCATGTTTTTTTTTTTTCCATGAATTTATTCCCTTCTCTCCCATAGCAAATGTCTCAGTAACTGGTGCATAGCAAGTATCTCCTCAGTGTCAGCTGCATGGAAGCCCTCTCCAGGAGCCTGTCCCTGTGCTTAGTCTACAGATACTGACCAACGGACTGCTGTTTCCACACTTCGGCTTCTGCCTTTCATGTAAACAGTCTCTGTAGCCTTTGCTTCAGATTATGCTTTTCTAGAGTTCCCTGTCTTGATTTATTGTTTTGGGTTTTTTTTTGGTAGGGCTTCATAACTTCTAAGAAGGACCATGGGAAGGACCTTTTTGTTGTTTTTAACTTTGAGATATTTTTACTAGAAACTGAATTCTAGGTAGAAAATAATTTTTCCTCAAAATACAAGTAGTCAATGCCCACTGTCTTTAAGTTTCAGTAACTTTGTTTTTCTTTCTTTGTCCTCTTGTCTCACTTGCTTCTCCTAACTCATAACACATAATGTCAGTATTTTCAGTTTCATGATCCTGTGTCTTTTAAAGTTTGCTTTTTTCAGTCCAGCTGGGTAACTGGTTGTCCCTTTTTATCTGAAAGATAGATCATTCAGTGCTGGGAAAATTAATTTGTGTATTATTTTAATGATTGATATAATACTATTTGTAGAACTGCCTAAATTGAGTATCTGACCACCTGGAATAACTTTATGTTTTTTGTTTTTTTTTTTTCAAATCTTTGTTTTCCAGTTCATCTTTGTAGTTTTGCTCAGCTTTTTTGGAGAAAATCTCGACTTTATGTGTAAAGTTTGTTTTTCTTTCATTCTTTAGATTCTAGACCGTTGATCCTGTTGCATGGGTATATTTTCTTCTTCATACGTTTCTCCCTTCCTCTCTCCCTTTGTTCCTTTTTCCCACCCTTTGTGCTTTTTTTATTGCCTCTCTTTTTTTTTTTTTATGAATAGCTTTTGTGTCCCCAGGTTTTTTTCTTTCAGTTCATGGAAGCTTTCTTCATGAATCTGTTAATATTTTGCTTGGGGGTAAACTGGTAAAGTGGGAAACAGAGTGGCTGTAGGAAACTGTGTTTGTATACACATTACTGGCTTTAGACATTCCTGACTTAGAAACTTGATGGACTTTTGGGGAATTTTCAAATGTCATTACGTTTCTTTCAGGCTAGTTGATTTCCACAAAATAACTTGTCTAAATTGCTTCCTATACAAGGCTCATAGCCATCATTCTAAGAACCGAGTGGAGAAAAGATGATTTGATACTAATATTTGGTGTATCAGCTGTAACAACAGTTCCAGCAATGTTCCTCTATTCCCTTGACCCTTGTATCTAGATTGTCTTTTATTCCTCCATAGGAAAAGAAAGCTCTTACCTTACGTAAAGGAGGAACGTCATCTGTCACTGCAGGGGTATGGAGGACTTCTTACCTCCTCCTCTGCTTCTAGAATACCTGATAATGGTAATTTCTGGACCAGTTTATGTTCCTGTAATAGAAATCAAGTGGCTTTTCTGCTTTTCCATTGATAACATGCAAAAAAAAATTGCTTTTGCAGTTACCATTCAACTATTAACTTTTAGGCTTTTACTTCCTAGTCCATTCTCTCTGTTTTTATGAGGTCATACTCCCCTTTAACTTTACCTTTTATTTTAGTCAGGCTTTGAATATAAGTAGAAGTTGATAGATATTTAGTATGCTGCTCAAAGTAGAAATTGTTCTTTATTGAAAAGTGATATTCTGAGCCTACTATAGAGGGTCCTCTGAAAGGCTCCACCCAACAGGGGATCGAAGCAGATGCTGACACTCATAGCCAAACTTTGGGCAGAGCTCAGGGAGTCTTACAAAAGAAGGGGGATGGGGATAGAATGACATGAAGGGGACAGGAGCTCCACAAGGAGACCCAACAAAGCTAAAAAACCTGAGCCCTGAGGGTCCTGCAGAGACTGATGCACCAATGGAGGACCATGCACAGAAAGGACCTAGACCCCCTGCTCAGATGTGGCCGATTGGCAGCACAGTCTCCACGTGGATCTCCGAGTGAGGGGAGTAGGGGCTGCCTCTATCATGAACTCAGTTAATTGCTCTTTGATCACTTTCCCCTGGTGATGCTGCCTTGCCAAGCCACAGAAGAAGTGGATCCAGGAAGTCCTGATGAGACTTAATAAGCTATGGGCAGATGGCAGAGAAGGAGAACCCCCTCTTTCAGTGGACTAGGGGAAAGGGATAGGGGGGAAGAGGGAGTGTTGGACTGGAAGGATTTGAAGGAGGGGTCTTCAGTCAGTATATATAATGAATAAATTATAAATAAGAAAAAATAATATTCTTTGTTATTTTCTATTTAATCACTTTATTCGTGATGATATTCCATATTCTCTGTCTGTTTTTCTGAACTCATCACAGAAACCTTTTTACAGACAAATAAATTTGAAAGGATATAGTTATTTCCTGTTATCTTGAGGAGTCTTCTAAAATTTAGTCTTTCATGCCTTAAAGCATTTGTTATAAATACTTAAGATTTTTTAAAAAGATTATTGCATATAAGCAAGAAGTAGAAAAACTAAGAGTAAAAAGATTCTTTTTAAGTTACTGAAGTCTGCTTGCTCATAGGTGATAAGAATTTATTATTTTTCAATGCTGGTCTATTCTTGTCCACTCGTTCATTGCTTTCAATGATATGTTTAAACTATATCTGTTTAGCTTTCAATGATCTTTTGAGCTTTATTTTCCTTCTTTTTGCGTTTTCATAGTCAAGTTTTCAGGAAAAAGCTAATTTGCTTCCTAGATTTTATACAATATATATTATATGATATAAATTGTAACATTTTTTTTTTTTTTGGAACCAGAAACGAGATTAAGGTATGATTTACTCCACACCTTTGGCTATAAAAGGGAGATGCCCAGGTCATTTATGAAAGCTAATTTACCTGTACTTAATGATCTTTAGGAGTAGCTGTACAGCCTCTTTGATGGCTTGCACTGCTTACTGGTATGGTAAACTTAGTACTGATGTTCCCAGTGACATACAGACAAGAATGAGGAAGGGTAAGTAACAAAGAAATGCTAGCTTTCAAGCACAGGGCATAAGGATGGTTAGAGAAAGCAAATAGGGCACAAAAAATGAACTGATTTGAGTAAAGAGTCCATATGGAACAGGAGCAACTGAAGGCATGGGGTGGTGGTGCTTGCTTTTTTCCCAACAGTAGGAAGGCAGATCTTTATGTGTTGGAGGCCACCCTCATTCTCATTTGCATTCCAGGGCAGCAAAAACAAAAACAAAAAAACAAATGAGGAATGAAGTGCAGTCAAAGTAGGGCTGTGAGCCAGTGGGGAGAAGAAGCTAGAGGATCATGTTATTTTTTTTTCATCTGGTAATTTTTTTCTATAGTGTGCTAACAGGAAATTGTGATGTTGTAAGTGTGTTTCTTCCTGATGATTTTAGAATTAAAAACAGCATATAGTTAGGCCACTTTCAACATATCTGCAGCATTACTATGTTTGATGCTGAAATCCACACTGTTTGCAGGCTTTTTCACATACGCTTGTATTTTTTGCCACGAGAGGCATCAACAGAGAGTGAATAGTAATCATTATGATACTACATAAATCCCCAGGAAGATGATTTAAAAAGACAGTTTTGGTGTGCGTGCCTGTAATCCCAGCACTCAGGGAGGCAGAGGCAGGTGGATCTCTGTGAAATCAAGGCCAGCCTGGTCTACAGAGTGAGTCCAGGACAGCTAGGGCTATACAGAGAAACCCAGTCTCAAAATAACAACGACAAATTTTTTTTTCTTTTGTTAAAGACAGTCAAATAAGGCCATTTCTTTTGAGGTTTTCTCAAATTGAAAGCTATTTTGGAATAATTTTTTTGTTTTAAAAGGGTTAAATAAAATCGGGAAGAAATACATCAGTTTCTGTTAGCTGGTTTATGGATTTAAGAGCCCTTTACACAGGAAAACTAAATCTATACACAAAAGAATGCTACTGATACAAAACTCAATCTTCTTAAATGAAGTTTCCAGTACAAGCTTAGGAATTTTGGGTATTTTTATATGACTTAATAAGTATAGTGAAGTAAAAATATGCTATATTTATTTTGGTTTTATTAAAGTCCAGAAGTAATTTTTTTGTTTAGTATTTTTATATTTATGCCTTAATACAGTGCATTTGGAGTGAGTGTTAATGATTGGCAGTTATTGCTGTTTCTTTCCTTAAATACTTTTTGATTTTTAAATTTTAAATTTTAAAACTCAAATAATAAAGAACTTATTAGAAATTATTTTTGAAAACTTTAATAATAATAATGATATTTGTAACAGTAGCAGTAGTAGTTACCACCCAACTTCAATAGTTCAGCCAGTGATTTTTTTTTTTTTAAGGTTAAAGTTACTTCAGACTTCTCCAGTTAACATTTAAAACTAAAAAAGTTCTTAAAAATTTGATTAACTGGATGAAAACTTTTGTATTACATTATAGCTTTATTTGTAAAGAGCCATTGGCTATTTCCTACATTTATATTATTTCTGGAGTAGGCAGCATGAAAAGATGATTATGTTTTCTGCTCTTAAGTCACTAAAGGAAAGTACTGTTCTACAGACTTAACAAACCTAATTTTTTTTTTTAAACTCAGTAACACCAAGTAGACTTTAAATATATAAGCTCTTACCTTCACTTTGTCCTTTTTGTATCTGAGACAAGTGTGCTGGAGGAGTTTATTCTGGGTCTACACCATTAGAAGAGCCTGGGTCAGATGATTGCAGTTCACTTCGATTTAACCTTTGTACCAAGTAAACAAGTGATTAAGAAGCTGGGCTTCCGTAGCAAAACATTGACTAGAACCTAACTTCTTAAAGACATCCTTGACTTTCAAAGTATAACAAATAATGCAATTTACTTACTTTTTGTGTTGCACTTGAAAATTTTATCAAAATATTGACAATTTTATTTCATGGCTTAAAGTGCATAGTGTTGAAAGTATTTTTTCATATCTCTGGTTTTTAAAATTATTTATTACAGTTTATTCACTTTGTATCCCGGCCGTAGCCCCCTCCCTCATCTCCTCCTGGTCCCACCTTTCCTCCCTCTTCTCCCCCTGTGCCCTTTTCCCTAGTCCACTGATAAGGGAGGACCTCCTCCCCTACTCTCTGACCTTAGCCTATCAGGTCTCATCAGGGCTGGCTGTATCCTCTTCCTCTCTGTGGACTGGCAAGGATGCATCCTCCCTTCAGGGGGAGGTGATCAAAGAGCCTGCCACTGAGTCCATGTCAGAGACAGCCCCTGCTCCCTTTACTAGGGAACCCACATGGAGACTGAGCTGTCTATGAGCTACATCCGAGAAGGGGGTCTAGGGCCTCTCCATGCATGTTCCTTGATTGGAGCATTGGTCTCTGCAGGACCCCCTGAGCCCAGTGTTTTTGGCTCTGTTGTTCTCCTTATTTGTTTGTTTGTTTTTTCTTTTGAAAGTATTTCTAACTAAAGTAATGTGGGTTAATTGTAAAGCTATTTTGTATTTTGTTAGATTCAAATTAAAAATATACTACCAAGTTTTATATTCCACTGCCTTTCAACATTGTTATTTGCTCATTTTTATGATACCTTGCTTTTATTAGTCACTTTACTGCCATGTTATAACAGGGGCAAAGTGCTTGAGCCATATAAAGATCTGACAGCCATTATATTCCTTAAAAAAACATGATACCTTCCTTGTGATGTAATCTTAACCCCCTGCAAAATAGAATACTGTACACTAGTTCCCATCTATATACAGTGGACAGAGCACAAAACAGGGTTGAGTAATGAAATGTAGAATGTTCTTTAGTAGAATGTAGAAACGCCTTAGTGCCTTAGTGAATTTGATAAAACAAAAATTTAAATAAATGGTAATTTCTGCTTCAGATTTCTGTGAGCTCATGTACTCAACTAAATTTTGTCAGTAGAAAGCATATTACTACAATGTAGTTACTAATAGTAACTACATTGAAAAATATCACTGCCTGTTCAACAGTGAGGCAAAAATAAATAGAAATTTCCGGTTGTCTGTTTCATTTTCTTCATATTTGATTTGTTTATTCTGAGATGTTTATAGGAAATGGTCTAAGTTAGGTGTTTTGTTTTTGCTAGTTGTAGGATATGAGTATAGAGAAGGTTTGGAGTATGTGTCCCTAATGGACTTAGCTGCTGATTTTTTGAAGACAGTAGAAGTTGTTTTCTGTAAGTGAAAGGCAGTAAATAATGATAGGCTAATCAGATTTTTGAAAAACAATGAGAAATTCATGATCTTGGAACTAAAAATTTATGTTAAATCAAACTCTTTCCTTTTTACTTACTTACTTAGTTTATTTATTTTAATGAAAGGCTGTCACTATGCAATCCTGGCCAGCCCTGAACTCCCTATGTAGACCAGGCTTATCCTGAACTCATAGAGATCTGCTTGCCTCTGCTGCTCAAGTACAGGGATTAAAGGCATGGACCACTGTATCTAGCAAGTGCATTCTCTCAGATTTCTTTAATGATATGACCCCTGATAGATCAACCATCCTATAGGGCAGGCCCCACTGCCCAGAGAATTACATAATACAAGCTGCAGCTGGACTGGGGGCAGGAGAGATAACTCAAAATTGGGGAGAGGGACCTATGTGTGGGTAGAGAAGGCAGATTTGGGAGGAATGGAATAGGAATCAAAATACATTATATAAATTTTCATTTAAAAAGATTTATTTATTATGTATATAGTATTCTGCTTGCATGTATGCCTGCAGGCCAGAAGAGGGCAACAGATCTCGTTATAGATTACTATGAGCCACCCTGTAGTTGCTGGGAAATAAACTCATGACCTCTGGAAGACCAGCCAGTCCACTTAAGCTCAGAGCCATCTCTCCAGCCTATGAACTTTCAAAAAATTAATAAAGATACCATTTTTTTAAAAAAAGAAAGTTTCTCTATCCTATTCGTAATTGACTATGTAGAAAATAAAATACAGGGCACACTAATGGCATTACTTGTAAATACATTATGATTGTATGATTAGGATAACCATTGCTATTATTATACAGTAGTTATATATTTTCAGGCAATTAATGTGTTATGATGCTAAAATATGTTTGTGATATGCCCATTGTATTTAAAATAATAGGTAAAAGCAAATTTCAGCAAAGCATATTATTGATACTAAGGTATAATTTATTTTTAAGTTTGTATCGGAATATTATTATTAGTGTGTACACGTGTATATGGGTACTCGTATGGCATAGTACATATGTGGATTTGGTCCTGTCCTGCTTTGGGTTCCGTGGATTGAAAGATTATCAGGCATGTGCAACAAGCACTTGGACCCAGTGAGCCATCTCACCCAACTTATAATTTTCTTTTTAAAAAATGAAATTGTGAGGGTTGCATGATAGCTCAATGGTTAAGAGGGCTTGTTCTTGCAGAGGACTGGGGTTTGATTCCCAGCATTCACATGGTGCTTTACCACTCCCTGTAACTATAGTTCCAGGGATCTGACACCCTCTTCTGACCTCTGTGGGCATGAGGCCCACACATGAAACACATACATATATGCATGCAACACAGGCATTCACATAACATAAAATAAATTAATCCTAAAAACATATTATTATTAATGTGAATACATTGCAGTGTAGCTCGCTACATTGGCCAGTTCAGTCAGAGCTGCCTTGATTGATATGATTTACAAAGTAGCTTTCTATATAGAGTTAACTTGAATACTCTGACTACTGATGTTTGAAAATCAGTATTGTGATTTGAAAACAACTAAATTTATGTTTGAAAAAACTAAAATGAGTATTGTCACCAAAAAATTAAATGAACCCTCATGTGTAAACAGTCTGAGAGATTGTATGTGATATCTTTCTGTTTTATTTATGCATTGAAATAAGACAATAAAGAGATTGGATTTAAGGATGCAGAAGAGAAAAATATATTATGTCTGTGCTGATGTGCTGATGTGATCAAGTTTTATATAGCTTTGAAATATAAATATAACAATTTTCATACACCATGGTTGTTATTTTTAAGTACTTGTAAAAATTATTTGATTTTTTTTTTTTTAGCCCTGAGTATACTAACAGGAATATTGTATGCTTTTGATTTCAGGAAGGAAAAACAAATCAGAAGTGTAGAAGAAGAAGTTGAACAAGAGAAGCAAGCAGCAGATGGCATTATCAAAAATATGTCTCCTGAAAAACAAGTCAAGTACATAGAAATGAAAACCACAAACGAGAAGCTGTTGCAGGTGATATTACCTTGGCCTGTGTGCTAGGCGTGCAGCACCATGCTGCTCAGAGTACACTTTGCAAATCAGTATCAGTGTTTCTGAGAACTGAATTGACCTACTCCAAATCTCATTGTAACAAGGTCTTCAGATAAGTGTCAGTAAGACACTGATATAAGATTCATTTTCCTATGTTGCATTGTGTTCTAGCTTTTAAAAAAGTACACAGTGTATTTCTCTGTATCTTCAGCTTTGCTTGTCATAAATTTATATGAAAACAGTTACTTACTTATTTGAGACAGGGTTTCACTATGTAGTCATGGCTGCCTTGAAACTTGTTCTGTAGACCTAGCTGACACTGAACACACAGAAATCCTCCTGCCTCTGCCTCCCAAGTGCTGGGATTAAAGGCATGTACCAACACACAAGTTCTAAAAACTTAGATTTTTATGAACTTTTAAAGGAAACATTAAAAGGGCTCACAGTCCAGAGCCACATGGATATTAATATTTTTTCATTTTCCGTCCTGTTTGATAAGTAACAAACTTTTTTACCTGTTATGTCCTTGATTTGAATGGTTTGTGTTGCTTAGAGGAACAGTTTTAGTGCCTGCTGATAATCCTCCCAGTATTAAACATCACAATGCATCTTTAAGCCCAGATGACCCTTAAATGAAGGATTACCAAAGAATTGGGCCAATAAGCAAGTGTGGTGGCACACACCTGTAATCCCAGCAGTCAGGGAGGCAGAGGCAGGTGGATCTCGATGAGTTTGAGGCCAGCCTGGTGTACAAAGTGAGTCCAGGAAAGCCAAGGCTACACAGAGAAGCCCTCTCGAAAAAAAAAAAAAAACAACAACAAAACCCAAAAAATAACTTATAGTAATGAATATGTTTATTTCTCAGATATTCCTTCACTTTAATAGAACGTTATCGTAGACCAAATTTTTAGATAAGTTATTTATTGAAGAAAGACTGAACTATTGTAGAATCATAGTAAATTTTATGTGGGTTTTATGAATAACTAACCAATGGTTCTTTTTCTTTCATCTCTCCCTTATTTTTTTCCTTCCCCTTCTCCCCTCTCTCTTTGTGGTCATTTGACTTTCTTTCCCTTCCTTCCCTCCTTCCATCTTTCTCCCTCCCATGTAGGCGTAAGTCTTAATACTAAAAGCAGTTAGGCAAAAGATGTGAAAAAAAAATATGGCTAAAGATTAGAATTTTGTATCTTTTTTTGAATAATGACATGATTAGTTTAAAAGTTTCTGATAATTACTGTGATCAGAACAATGATATAATAATTGTGGCAAACTTAAGGAGTTTTTGAAGGTCTGTGGGAGGGATTTTAGAACTAATGAAACTATTTCAAATAGGATAAAATCTTGGTAAGTTCTAGTCAATAAGCGAGATATGAATTGAATATAATAAAATTTACTTTATCACATTTAGAGGTGAGCTGTTAAAAAAAATGAAGAAAAAAGTTATTACTTTAAATTTGCCTTTTTTCCTCCTTAGGAATTAGATACACTTCA